CCCCAGCGTCCAAAAAAGAAAAATAGTAATAACTTACACTGATGAGCTGGGGGCGCCCAGTGGCCAACCGGGCGTGGCAACCGGCCAGGCGGCCCCCCCCCCCCCCCCCCCCCGGGTGACGACCAGGCTGCCGGACGGCCCGGGGACCAGTCTAGTTTTATAGTGCTTTAGAGTTGTGTTTTGTTGTCTTTTTTTTGCCTGTTTTTTTGTTATTTGTGGTGTTTGTATTATGAGCTTGCATTGTTTGTGCGCAAATTTTTTGACGACATTGCTTGTGGTGATGCCGCGAAAAAGCCCAAATTTCGGGCCTTCGATTGACCATGTCTGGGATGCCACGGATGGTCAGCTGAAATGGTTGCACACTGTATTCCTAATCATTTTGTGAATGTCGTAAATGCCTGTGTCGATTGCCGTCTTCTTCACGATTCACAAAACTTCCTTTGCAGAGAAAACGTTTGTAAATGTTTTCTGTTTGTTTACCTGCCCAGCCGTTATTGCGTATAGATTTTCTGTGAACCAGAGTTCTTTTTCTCTTCTCTGAGTGCCTTTTTTCTTTTTGTCTGTCTGGGATAATAAATGGACACAGGAGCAGAGAGGAATTGGGTCATTTCATCGGAGAAGTGGAGACTGGTGCTGTATCATGTGGCTTTGGACGTGCTCTTGGAAACAAGGTATGAGCCTATGAGTATGTTTCCTTAATCAATCCCCTGATCTGAAATCTCCTTCTGGGCGGAGAGGGCAATCAATCCCCTGATCTGAAATCTCCTTCTGGGCGGAGAGGGAAATCAATCCCCTGATCTGAAATCTCCTTCTGGGCGGAGAGGGAATGTGAGAAGTGAAGGCGTCCCTGCGCATGACGACCATGGAAGGGGTGGGTACGGTTCGTGCTTGAGCTAGCATGGCAAGAAGAGCATTGTAAGGCGATGCTGACAGTCTTGAGAACAGATGGATCTTGCTTCTCCAGAGCTACTGGCAAACAACTCTGAAGCGAGTGGTTAGCCATCTGTAGTGCAAGGAAAACTGCGCCAGAGGAACTCAACTTAAAAGTACAATGGATTCTCCATGGCCGATATGCATACAGCGAGCAGGCATTTACTGAAATAGGAAACCAATGATCAAGCAATGATCAAGTAATGATTAAGCAATGATGACACCGGCCATGCTAGATCACTCAAGTAAAACGCTCATCCTCACCGGAGGAGAAGACAATTAGATAGGTAAGATAGGGTTATGAGCACTTGCTTGCTGACTCGCACCAGATAGATGATGTCTTTGTCTTGACCAAACACAGTCAATACTGAATGTTACACTTGGGGAAAAAGTGTACAGTGTGTGGGAACTGTTCAGACCCACCCTGCGCACAGGTAATCAAGCTGCGGTCCAACCGAACAGCATTATTTAGGCTGTCTATCTCAAGAAATATTTAATGTCGTAGCAGGATGACGACTCGAAAGTTAGTGAACTCGCAACAGTGCGGCATGGATAACCAGCAAGACCCGTGTTGCTTGTGCAATGTCGGGCACTGAGTCTGCAGGGCCCGTATTCTGGACGACCGCAGGGAGCTGCACCTGCTGGAAACCGGGTCCAGCGTCCCACAGATACCATAATCAGATGCAACCAGATGGGCATTCTACCGGGGCCCTTACCTGGTTTCGCCTCACTCTGTCAATGACAATCCATAACTTGCTTGCCTCCGCCAAGCCTACCCTTCATCCCTGCAAACCATTCGTAATGCCTATCCATTCCCAGGGGTTCAACCGCAGGGGCGGGGCAGTGTCATTCTCGGCCACACGGCCGGTTCACAGCTCCACCTGTCCTCTTGCCACCTCTTGCCAGGCGCCGGGGGGCACTATTCCAATAACGCATAGATAGAATCGCCCCCTGGGTGCTCCCCCTGAAGGCCCGACCACCTAAGGCAAAGCCTATCACTGTGCAGTCTACCTATCTGTCCCTCACCTAGTAACTTGATGGAGAATCCCCTCCGGATTTGTGGCGCTTCATCCGGGTATTTTGCCATCTCTCGCTTGGCACTGCTCCAGTCCACCCAGTACTCCGCTTCCAGTGAAGTCAGTAGCTGCTCCCACGCTTGCTTATTTCGTTTTGTTATTTTTTTGTTGTTTTGTTTTTTGAACTTTTTTC